CGAGGTCCGTCCTCTCTCTCTCTCTCTCTCTCTCTCTCCATATCCTCCATGTGTTTGAGACTCTCTCACACAAATACAGTTCCAAAAAAGAAAAGAAAAAGAAAACAGAATGATCTTTAAGAATTTCATGCGAGACCTTACACACACATATATGTGCGCATGCACACACTCACACTAAACACATACACATGCACACTAAACACAGACACCCACACATTCACAAAACACAACACACAAAATAACATTTCCTCAAAAAAAACACACAAAATAACATATGACCCCCACCTCAACCCCTTCCTTTAGGGCCACCTTTGTGTCTGGGCACCAGCCTAGGCGGCCCAGACCCTTGGCAGCCTCAGTGGCCTCCTCCGCCTTTTTGATCATTGCTTATTGTAATTTGGATATATTTTGGACTCAGTTAGGTGTATATGTTAAGAAAATCTTATGTACTTTTATGGTAGATTACTGGTGTTAGAGTCATGCTCTTCCAGCCACTAGGAAAAGTTTCCTTATAGATGTCCTCTCATTACCTGGTTTGAATTTTTGTTAGCCATTTCTAGAGAGATGATGCATTTCTTGCCCCCAATTTCCTTATTGCTTGTCCAGGTTTATTTGATCAAAATGTTTCCAACTTTTCCTTTGAGACACATTGGACAACAATAAACTTTGAGAGGCCTATTCCCCTTTTTCTATGTGTTTGGTGACATGAAAAAAAAAAAAAAGGAAAAAAGGAAAAGTGTGACAAGAGAGATGCTGTGAAATGGGCTATCTTTCTCTATCCTCTTGAGTCAATAAGTAGAATGAATTTGACTTGTGTTACAGATAGATCAAAACTCAACCCAATTTAATCAGGACGTTAGAATATGGGCTTCCAATGCCGGGGGAATTGCTCAACTATGATTTAGGTCATACGAATCTATAAGAAAATTGATTCTTTAGCTCTATATATGTTTATCTGGGGAAAATTTCCTTCGTGGATGACATGTAAAAGTACTTAAGTAATGCACACATCGGTTTATTAGAATGTCTGGGCTAATTATCTCTAATTCAATGGGATATTCTTTGTCTTCCGTTGTCGTTATAGTCATGGAAGTATATTCCTTGACTTGGGAGTTTGGCTATGGTATTTTGCAGGTATAAAGCTTTGAAAGATCGCAAGGTAGAGATCTTTACAAGGCATGCGAATGTACCAGACATGGTTTCCGGGTGAGCAATCTAGTGATTTGTTGTCAACACGAGAAAAAAAAAGTTAGTATTTTTGTTTTGAATGCAGTCCATGCACAAATGCTAGTTTTGATATGATTCATAAAACTAGTATTTATCAAGCAGGCAAATCTCTGAGCCAATTAATGTATATTGGGCATATCCAATGTATGTTATTCACCAATTTTACCATGCTGTGGAATATACTTTGGAGAAGGGTTACACAATGTATGTTATTACACAGTGTATGTTAATTACAATTCATCATTTTTACTGCACCGTGGTGTATTCTTTGGAGTAGGATTACACAATGCGACATGGGTGATGATAGGACCTTTTTCTCCTTAATTGATACTTGCGTCCTTCCAATGGTATGTGATATTCTGTTCATGTCTGTTGTGTTGTTTAGATATGAGATTTTGGGTATGCATCGAAACAGGCAGCACCGTGTAGATTTTATGGAGTGGGCACCAGGTATGGCTCATCTTGTGATGCACTCGTCCTGCAACTATGCTATTTCTAATTCCTTTATCATTCACGAGTGGATGGATTTGGCAAAGGTTGAACATTTGATCATTTTTGAGTCGCTACTGTAAATTTTCTTTTTATTATTTTCTCATGTAATAGTTCGGATCTATTGTTTGGACATAGTTTAGAGCATTTTCTGAACTACAAAAGGGGGTCAAGAAAAGAGGGGATTTCGATGTTCGCATCTCAAGAATCCCTGCAAAAAGAAAAACAACATCTCTATGTACACTATTATTCTCCCGAGGATCCTCTTCAGCAAGTGCCAAGCTGTTGGAGCTTCTCCTTGTGCCTAATACCTTTAAGACAATTGCCTTCCATGATAAATGACCTCTCCAACCTGGCAACCCAAAGCCTAAGACAGAACAAGGCCTTAGCTTTGACAAAAGAAGAGTTACAGAAAGCATTGGCACCTGAGTAAATCAGCAAGGAAGCACCCCTACGTCTCTGAGAATTCCCATAAAGCTTCATGTCCTTGGATTGAGTGTGAGCTACCATCAAAATTTTGCTTGGCATATTTGGGGTTTGGTACAAATTTCCTTCCGACTCTTTGGCATGCTATTTCCATTGTCTGAGTAGGTAGGTGGATTAGCAGCCTTTGAATTCAAGCCCGATCATGGACCACATAATAGCCTTGTCATTGATGCTCTCCAAAGATGTCCGCTTTGTGGTTCCCAATTCTTGAATATTCGTGAGCTACACTCCATTCAAAAACCCAACAATCATGGTTGCTACAACAACCTGCCTCCTCTCTGATATGCACTAAGTGCAACAATCAATCAAGCGATCAGCCACCGACAAATCAAATATATTCATAATAGAGGCCCACAACTTATGAACAAACTGACAGTGGATCAACAAGTTTTCTACTGATTTGCCTTCATCCTGGCACATAATAACTTATTTGGAGTGGGGGAGGCATACTGTTGGGTTTTTGTGGCCTTTAAAGGCCTAGAAAGCTTGTAAATATTATGTATAGTGGAGTATGCACACTGATGGGAGTGTGTGTGACCAAGGATTGGGTGGTTTATGGCTCCGGTCATGTCTAAAACCCTATGCTTGGGCATGTGGCACAACCGAGAAGGATTTGAAGTGGTCATCCCTTGTTGAGGTCGAAGAGATGCCCATGGATCATGTTTGTAGGCCTGGAGAACTGTGTGGTCTCTTGTGTACTGTTGTAGGCCTGTGAGAGCAATGGTCAAGTCCTCAATAAACTTCTACATGGCATGTATAAATGACAATTGCATGGGTAGTAGCCCTTTAAAAGGACATGTGTACATGTTCATTGAGAGAGCCCCTTTTACACTATAGTGACAAGTGCTAGACTTGCTCGTAAATGGGGGAATTGAAATCTACATTTCAGTAACATTGTCTTATTGTTTTATTATCCAACTTTGACAAGCCAATCATGAGCCACTGCAAAGAGACTGTGGGTCATGGGATTTTGTTGGGTTGGATAAGAAAACAGTTGTGGATCATGGTTTCTGGGGCGAGTGGAGTGCCCTTATTGTCGTCTAGTATATTTTATTATGGTATTATAAATGTTTCTTTGAGTTTTATATATTTTTCATAATTTTTAAAATATTATTTCTGTTGTAAATTTTGATAAAAAGGTATTTATGAAAATTTCATAACTTTAAACCACATGTGGGATAATGTGCCACCCTCGGGACCACGCCCTAAAATTTTATTTTTAGCATAAAGGGGCATGCCGTATTTTTAGTGTGGGCCACGCCCAAAATGTTTCTTGTAAATCTTTGTGGCTCCACACCACCTGTTTAGGAAAGTAGTGGGACACCCTATTTTTCTTAAAAAATTTTTGTTAACTAAAGGGGGCCACTCCACTTTATGAAGAGAAAGGGGGCACGCCCCATTGTTTTGATATTTGTTTGAAATATAATGGGAAATCCTATTGTCTTCAAATTAGATTTAATATTTGATTCAAATATTATGGGAAATCCTATTGACCTTTTAATTAGATTTGGTTTCCTATATTTCATGGGAGATCTAGATAATATTTATTTAAATGATATTTAAGTTTGATTTCAAACTTAAATGAGAGATCTAGATAAAGTTTGAATTTGATTGTATTTATATTTTAAATAGGAGTGCATAGGGTTAAAGTGTAGGGAGATAAGGTTCCTATTATTCCATCCAAAATCAAGATGGCTGATTTTTGAGATGGATTACTCTGATTAATCTCGCTCCCCACAGATTTCCTATTTATCTTAAAAAGTTTAGCTGGAAATTAGACGAGATAAGGCAAATCCTATTCAATATGAGAAGATATTGTTTCTTCTGGATTCCCTTCTATTTAAAGATCAAGTTTGAACTTATTTGAAACTATCACAAGATCTTTTATCTCTTTCCCTCATGCACCAAAAAGTGGGGGATCTCTCTCTCCTTCGCGCACCAAATGGTGGGGAATCTCTCTATCATGCCACCTCTCTCACCTTTCCTCCACGCACAAAGTAAAGAGAGACCTCTCTCTCTCTCCTATTTTTTTGGGCATCATGCCGCCCTCTCTTCAGCCTAGAGAGTCACGTACTCTCTCTCTCCTCTCTCTTATTTTATTTTTAGTAGTTTATTTTTGAACGAGAAGAAGATGAGGAATTAAAAATAGGTTTGCTGTATTTTTTTGAAGAAAGAAGAGAGAAGCCTAGCCTAGAGAGATCAACCTCCAAGATCAGCCTATTTTGATCCCATAGGGTTTTTGTAAACCATATATTGTAGCTTTCTAAAACCCTAGAGGAAGAAGAATTGCCTATAAAGCTTCCCTATTTTAGAATTCCAGCAACACCTTAAGGAGAATCAGGTGTCGGGTGTACCAAGTCTTGGTTGGGTAACTCCAAGCATCTTCTAGTGAGCCTTCTCATTGCTTTTTATTTATTGTCAGTTTTAATTTCAATTTTTTGTAAATTTTCAGGAACTTATGTTGTATTAAAAATTGTAATAAAAGTTAGTTTAAAGTTTCTGGATAGTTTCTATTTCTGTGGCAGTAAAAATATAGATCCTAGGGTGTATCTAGGGCATTGTTTTAATTTTCCAGCAACATATTGTGGTCCATGTATGTGGAATTCAGATATTTGGAATAAAAGCAAAAGAATTTTTTTTGAATTTAGTACCTTGAGTTCCACATAGCTACACCTTTCACATACCTCTCCTTTGAAGGTGGTCCTCTGCTAATATACATTACCTGTATGCAAGCCAACCATTGCTACAACCTTGGGCACGCCTGTAATACCCCATAGGATACCTTCTGAACTTGATTTGCCAGTATTACCCTAAAGTCTGGTAGAATAATCCAGTGAGAGACACCGATCCCACTGCTTTCTCATTCCTTGTCATTGGAATATAGACATCGTTGCCATATTGATTCACATAATCCCCCAAATCCCGGACCTTATTAGCTCTTGGGAAACAGGGAACCAAGAAGGTCTTCCATGTGTTCTTTTGAAACAATCAGCCACCCTAGCCTCAGAATTGCAACAATGACAAGCCTTAATAGTGCAGGACATTTGATGGTTAACGGCCTGTTACCAGTCTAGAAAAAGTACTAACAACTGATAATATTCCATCCCTGACACAAAATCTTAAGAAAGACTTTGGCTTAGGCTGGATGTGGTAGAAGCACTTTTTCGGTCACAATAGATGAACGGGCAGGTTAGGTGCATTGGTTAGAGCTGTCAAACAAAAAAATAAAAATGCTAACAGCTTGCAAGGCATCATATATAATGCTAACAGCTAGCAGGGCGTGTAGTCAATATTCTCTTGCAATGATTAGTATTGTTGATAATGCTAACAGCTAGCAAGGCATGTAGTCAGGACTAAACACATGTAGCTTATGACATTCATCTCCAAGTAATTGAAGTTCGTAATCTAGCAATGATAACTTTGAAGGTAGACCATCTAATAACATAAAAATCAGCATAAAATTGAATACAATAAAATGTTCAATTGGGCATAAGTACAACCTCCGTGGCTCAAGTCACAAAACCAAGAATCAATTTAAGAAGCAATTCTTGAATTATAAATATCCCAACAATATCAGAACTAAAATAGCATCCAAAAATCACAAAAATCATATCAAGAATGAAAATAAAAGGAAAACCATCAAACGGAATAGAAACGAATAACCATCATATCAACTCTCGCATTTGTTTAGCATGAAAAAATCCAGATCCAATTTAACAAAAACAAAATAAAACAATATAACATGTTAACTATTTAACTTCTATTGTTCAATTTTCAGGTTCAAGTATGTTGGACACAAACCAAAATCAACATCCCATTCTCCACACTATTGGATTCATCATCATCTAAGCATTATTCCAACTATTTGGGGTCGATTACATGAATCTGGTTCTGCCATACTCAAGAAATCTGATGAACGGCTTATACTCGTAAAAAAAAAAGGAAGCAGAAGACAAGAATGGTCGGAAATTTACTCAAGAAGCATTTGAGTAAAATCTTTTTAGTTTTAGGATAAAAAAAAATCAACAAGCTCATTCTTCGTAAATCAAATTGAATAGAAATAGGTATCCATCTCTATCTTTGTAGAAGCACAACAACGTCTTACACTAGTGAGCATGTATTTGAGCTAAAATTTCTTATGATTTGTTTTAGTATAGATCAAAACTATAAATATATAAAAACATCAAGTTATCAAAATGATGCAGTAGTAAAAAATTTCTCATTTCACAAGTGGCACAAAACCTTAAATAGACAAATAAAAGAAATCAAATCAAGGCTACAATTATCAGAAATTCTACAAAAATAGAAAGACTAGAAGCTAATTAGTCATTCATTAAAACAAAGTATGTATTAATCATCAGACAGGGGCTCGTAAAGGAAGGAACGTAGAGAGAGATTTAGCAGTTGCAAGGAGCCATCACAGACCCCAACCTAAGTCATATAAACATTAAGTGAATGAGAGAGAGAGAGAGAGA